ATGCGGTTTGGGGGGCATGGCCTGGCATGATGTGATTGGGGGGCATGGCCTGGCATGATGCGATTGGGGGGCAGGGCCTGGCATGATGCGGTTTGGGGGGCATGGCCTGGCATGATGCGGTTCGGGGGGCATGGCCTGGCATGATGCGGGTTTGGGGGACATGGCCAGGCATGATGCGGTTTGGGGGGCATGGCCTGGCACAATGCGATTTGGGGGGCATAGCCTGGCATGATGCGGTTCGGGGGGCATAGCCTGGCATGATGCGGTTCGGGGGGTTTCGTTTGTGTGTGTGAGCAGACTTGCAGACTTTGTCATTAGTGCAACTCATGCATCAGGATGCTGCTGTTTTTGCTGCTCTAATTGCCGAGCCTCGTCAATCTTGTAACGCAAAGACGAACTTCTGCACTCATCCCTTCGACTCGCATACTTTGCACTTCCGAATTCGAGCTTCAGTGTTTGACTAGTCCGCGCTTCACTTGGGATCCGTTTGTCCCCTCACTCTGATCAGCTATGTGCCCCAAATTTAGTTCGCTGTGCCGGACATTATGTTGTCGTTCATCCGCCTCCTGCACGTGCTCGAGAGTATCTGTTGCACTACTTGAATTGCAAGAGCATCGCACCGCATTCAACATCAGGTGGTTTTCGTACGTACCACGCTGTTCGATGTTGCTGCCGTGATAGGGAAGCGACGCTCTGCTGGGTTAACTGGTCCTGTCGAGTTCTGGTACGACCCTCCGGTATCTGCTCCTGATGCTGACGTCGCTCCCTCCTTCGCCTTTCTCCGTTTCTAAAGGTTTATCTATGAGGTTTCGAGGTAAAGAGTGCCAGTCCGATGCCTCCATTCTTATCGACACTGGGAACATGACTTCAGCCCTCTTAAGTGCAGTTTTGCTCGTCACATGGGTTTGGCGATTCAACCGTCGGACCGTTGGTTGTACATCCCACCCTAACGGTCATACATTAGGATTGCTGGCTGCACCGCCCCCCCAGGTGGTCCGTACTGCAGGACCAAAGCGTGGCACTGCACTCGGGGGGCAGTGAGCTCACTAACTTGCTGTTTGTTGATGATGCATCACTCTTAGCCACTGGCTGCGAGCGGGCACAATGCCTTCTTGGTTACTCGAGATGTTTTGCAAGGCGACTGGGATGGCTGCTAACGGAGCCAAGTGTGAGGTGCTTGTCTTCAGGGGCACACCTACTGAGTG